TATTAGAGAGGGCACGTATTGCATGGAGCACTGGGTGTGGTGCAAAAACAATGAATACTGTTATGCTGAAAAGAAATCAAACAAACAAAAAACATTAAAAAAAAGAATTCTTTGTACATTTTGGTTTATCTGATGAATCTTTGCAAATATTTTCTTCCAATCCACTTGTCTTATTTTCTTGACTTTGAGAAGTAAAACTTTGAAGGTAACTCAATCAATACCTTTTTTATTTTTTGGAACTCTTGCCAATTCTAGATTTATTTTGCTATCTGTCAACCTCTATACATTTCTTACTGGAATTTTATATTTAACTGTTTTTGGAACTGGCAAAACCACTGATAATTTTTTTTTAAAAGATTTATTTATCTGAAAGAGAGCGAGAATGGGGGAAGGGTACAGAAGGAGAGGGAGAGAAATCCTCAAGCAGACTCCCCACTGAGCACAGAGGCTGATATGGGCCTCAGTCTCAGGAGCCCGAGATCATGACTTCAGCTGAAATCAAGAGCTGACATTTAACCGATTGAGTCACCCAGGTGCCCTCACTGAAAGTGTTTTTAGTACTGTTGGATTAACATGAAAATAGAAAGCATCCTTGTGTAGTTTTGTTTTCAGTACAACCCAAAAATTATGTGGTCACTTTATCATGTGGAAAAAACTCCATTACTTTTTTAAAGTCTTTTATTTTTTTTAAGATTTTATTTATTTATTTGACACAGAGAGAGAGAGAGATCACAAATAGGCAGAGAGGCAGGTGGAGAGAGGGGGAAGAAGGCTCCCCGCCGAGCAGAGAACCCGATGTGGGACTCTATCCCAGGACCCTGAGATCATGACCCGAGCTGAAGGCAGAGACTTTTAACCCACTGAGCCACCCAGGTGCCCACTTTTGTAAAGTCTTAATTAAAAAACCAAATTTGTGGGGTACCTGGCTGGCTTAGTTGGTAGAGCATGCAACTCATGATTTTGGAGTTCTAACTTCAAGCCCCATGTTGGGTGTAGATCTTACTTTAAAAAAATCAAATTTTAACAAATACCAAGTCAATATCTAATAAGGTAATGGATTTTTGAAAAACATATTTTGTTGCTATAATGCATTCTTCTTATTATTTTATTGGTGTTATGATTAATTTTCACTCCTGGAGTTAAATTCTGTGTTGTATAGCTTTTAGTATGTTATGTTCAGTTGATTAGATTTTGTCTAGAAAGGAAAGAATTAAAAGCTCTACTTTCCCTGTCATGTAATATATACATTTTTATGTTCAAAGGTCACCATCTTTGATAAAATCCTAAATATTTCTTCCTTGTAGGAAATATTTTTGGATGAGATGGCTTTTTCACAGTCTGCAGAATAGCTGTATGTTGGACTTGTAGACTGTGAGAACATTTAGATCACGGGATAATAAAAATGAAAGAAGCCTTCAGTATTTTTCAGTTACACCTCATTATTTACAGGGAAGGAAACTGAGGCCCACAATGCAGAGTAACTTAGACAAAGTCAGAATGGGTTTGTGACTTTATAATCCATATCTTATCCTAATCTACAGTATTGTTTTATGAACCAAACTTGCACATCCAATCACTATATTCCACTACCCAGTAAGAATCAGTAAAGTAAATGTCTTTTATATCACATTTATTTTTATCAGTTGTTTGCTGGTTTCTTAGCTTGGCAGTTGTGATGTGCTTGTGTCTCATTCAGTTTCCAAGTTCCCAGGTGCAGCCATAGATCCTGGCATCTCTGCCCATGAATATCACTTTCTCTTCTGGGCAGTGGTGATGTCTGCCTAATAACTTCTCCTTTTCAGGCAACCAAAGCTGTGCCCTAGATGTCATAGTCACATGAATGAAAATGAAAGAAATTTGGTTCAGTAGGCAGGTGGCACTGCCATCATGACCCTATCCCCGGATATCCAACATCGAGTAAGGGAGGAGATATGCTGGTTGTATACCATCTTTCTATGTAGTGTTCACTCTTTGGTATCCTACATTGCTTCCTATGTTGTACTGAGAGAAAGGAAGCTCCCTGCCTTAAATTCTGAACCAAGTTGAATTTTGAATGATGACAGAGGTTTTGTAAATATATCTATTCTTTCAGAAAGCTGTAACTTTTTGCCAAAATATTGGAACATTTTGTGAATTTTGCTAATATATGGGGAATAAATATGGGATAAAGTATTTGAAAGGGGGCTGTTCAAGAACGTACACAGTTACTGTACTTAGACACATGCAGATGAGCCTGCTTTTCTTCATCACCCATCACTCAGACTCTGTCTTGAAAGGAATTCCCAGTAAGTCCTAGGTCAGGCCAAATAGAGAGTGTGGCTAGCTTAATATATGCCACAGGTGAGCATCTGAGACAGTCTTCTTTATATAATATTAGGTGTCAGATGAAACTAGAGAGTAGGGAACTTTGTCATATTCAAATGTCACTCAAGCAGTGCCTTTGAGCCCTCAATGGCAGCACACTCAAGTACTTTATTAATGAAAATATTGACAATGGAGTCTATTATGGACCTACTGTGTTTAACTCTTGAGTCTGAATTAAGCCCCCAAAGTAATTAAAGTGTCCAGAGCACTTTCTAGAAGGGAATAATGGGCCTGACATTTCTTAGTATGTTTTTAAAATTTCCTACATTTCCATCTCTTTATCCTATACTTGTCTCTCCATGTTTTTCCCTAGATAGGATCCATCCACACCCGATAAATTCTGACTCTTTGTATTGATCAAAGAGAACAAGAAACTGTGGCTTGATCCTGCCCTCAGCCTTCCACTCTCTTACTCCTTGTCCCATGTATTAGAGCACACCTGCTTGGTTTAGTGCTGCTCTGCCATGTTAGAGTGAGGACTCAGGAGGCCTGGTTTACTAACTGTAGAAGAATGGGCAGGATGGAGCTAATGGGAAAGGCCATGTTGGTAAAATACCTGGCAGAAGCAGAAGAGGCCTTCCTTTCTTGATTGTAGGGCTAGGGTCCAGGTCAGAAAGCTGATTGATCAGAGAACTATCTTCTTAAGTTGTGGGGGTGGACCCTCGATGGCTGTTCTCCAGTGCTTCTCAAATTTAGGACCATCCCAGAATCTGGAGGCCCAACACTTCTATACCAAATAAGAGAAGGTTGTGAATATATGATGAAGAAAGATCCCATCCTCCCCACCCTCTCTTCCCTGGCCTCCACTGTCCTTAAGGATTTATTATCACATTCCACCAAGAATGGGCATCTCTAGCTTTGGAACTTGCAAATCTCTGATGATCATGTGGCCCACAGGAAATAGCCTTTGCTGGGTCTTAGGAAATGGAGCATCATAGTTTATCAGAGCTTGGGTCTTCAACAGGAAAGTCAGGACAATTCTTCATGCTTGCCTCAGAGGAATATTAAAATTAAGTAAAATCTTAGGTCGAATATGTTTAAAGATTTATTTATTTGAGAGAGAGCGAGAGGGTGAGAAAGAGAGAGATGGTGTATGGGGAGGGGCAGAGGAAGAGGGAGAGAAGCAGACTCCACTAAGCACAGAGCTGGGCACAGAGCTTAATACCATGACCCTGAGATCATAACCTGAGCTGAAATCAAAAGTTGGATACCCAACCGAGTCACTCTGAATATGGTTTTGACAAAACTAAAGTGATCCTCATATGTAAACGTTTACAATAATTATATTTAAAATACATGTAATTAAGAAATTACCTGTCAGTTATTCCTTTCATGGTCTTAGCACTGATCAGTTTAAAGTATAATGACCTATCATTTTAAGAGGAATTGTTTTTATTTCCAACTTTATGGCCAGCTGTCTGAAAAAGGACCAAATGCTTCAAACGGGGATCAGGGAGGAAGTTCATTTTCATTTCCTGGTTCATGAAGGACCATATCTGAAACATATCAAACTGTTTTTAAAAAGATATCTATAGTCCTCTGAAGAACATGATGCTGCAATCCTTCTTGACTATCTAGTCCTCTTGTTTCTTAGCTGTCATTATTGGGAAGTTATTCCTAATGTCTAAATTAAATCTCTGGTATTATTGCCTCATCTTTTTTACTCCTAGACTTTTTGTTTTTTAATCATGTTAAGTGTAGTCTTTAATCCCCATCACCTATTTCACCCATCCCCCATCTACCTGCCCTCTGGTAACCTTAAGTTTTTTTTTTTTTTTTTAAGATTCTATTTATTTATTTGACAGAGAAAGATCACAAGTAAGCAGAGAGGCTGGCGGGGGGCGGGGGAAGCAGGCTCCACGCTGAGCAGAGAGCCCAATGCGGTGCTCGATCCCAGGACCCTGAGATCATGACCTGAGTTAAAGGCAGAAGCTTAACCCACTGAGCCACCCAGGCACCCCTAGCCTTCAGTTTTTTCCCCTATAGTTAAGAATCAGATTCTTGGTTTGTTTTTCTTTCTCTTTCTTTTTTCCTTTGCTTGTTTTGTTTCTTAAATTCCATACATGAGTGAAATCATATGGTATTTGTCTTTGACTTGTTTTGCTTGGTATTATACACTCTAGCTCTATTAATGTTGTTGCAAATTGCAAGATTTTATTCTTTTGATGGATTAATAATATTCCATTGTATATATGTACCACATCTTCTTTATCCAATCCTCAGTCGATAGACATTTGGGCTCTTTCTGTAATTTGGCTATTGTTGATAAAGCTGCTATAAACATCAGGAGCATGTGCCACTTTGAATCAGTATTTTTGTATCCTTTGGGTAATATCTACCAATGCTTTGCTGGATTGTAGGGTAGTTCTATTTTTAGCTTTTTGAGGAACCTCCTCCTTTTTTCCAGAGTGGCTGCACCAGTTTGCATCCCCACCAACAATGTAAGAGGGTTCCCCTTTGTCTGCATCCTCGCCAACACCTGTTGTTACCTGTGTTGTTGATTTTAGCCATTCTGATAGTTGTGAGTTGGTATCTCATTGTAGTTTTTTAAATTAATTTTAAAATTTAAAGTCAATTTAATTAACATATACTGTATTATTAGTTTCAGAGGTAGAATTTAGTGATTCTTCAGTGGCATACAACACCCAGTGCTCATTACTTCAAGTGCCCACCTTAATGCCCATCACCCTGTTATCCCATCCCCCTACTCACCTTCCCTCTAGTAACCCTCAGTTTGTTTTTTATAGTTAAATGTCTCATAGTTTGCCTCCCTCTCTGTTTTCATCTTGTTTTATTTTTCCTTCCTTTCCCCTATGTTCATCAGTTTTGTTTCTTAAATTCCACATATGAGCTAAATCATATGATATTTGTCTTTCTCTGACTAACTTATTTCACTTAACTAACTTATTTCACATACTGTCCACATGGTTGCAAATAGCAATGTTTCATTCTTTTGGTGGCTGAGTAATAATCTATTATATTTATGTACACCACATCTTTATTCATTCATCTATTGAAAGACATCTGAGCTCTTTCCATATTTTGGGTATTGTAGATATGGCTACTATAAATGTTGGGGTTCATTTGACCCTTTGATTCACTATGTTTTTTTTTTCTTTGGATAAATACCTAGTACTGCAGTTGCTGGATGTTAGATAGCTCTATTTTTTAACTTTTTGAGATATCTCCATACTGATTTCCAGAGTAGCTGAACCAGTTTGCATTCTCACTAACAGTGGTAAGAGTATTTCCCTTTCTCCACATCCTTGCCAACATCTGTTGTTTTTGAGTTGTTAACTTTAGAGCTTTTCCCCTAAGGTTAAGAACATGTCAGGGATGTCCACTCTCACCACTGTTGTTCAATATAGTACTGGAAGTCCTAACCTCAGCAATCAGACAACAAAAAGACATAAAAGACATCCACATAGGCCAAGAAAAAGTAAAATTTTCACTCTTTGTGGACTACATGATATTCTATGTAGAAAACCTAGGACTCCACCCAAAAATTGCTAGAACTGATATGGGAATTTAGCAAAGTCCCAGGCTATAAAATCAATACACTGAAGTCAGTTCCATTTCTATACACTAACAATGAGGCAGAACAAAGAGAAATTAAGGAAGCGATCCCATTAACAGTTGCAACAAAAATCCCAAGATACCTAGGAATAAACCTAACCAAAGAGGTAAAGGATCTGTACTCATCAAAGTTTTGATTTGTATTTCCTTGATGATGAGTGATGTTGAGCATCTTTTGATGGGTCTGTAAGGCATCTGTATGTCTTCTTTGAAGAAATGTCTGTTCATGTCTTCTGCCCATTTTTAAGTTGGATTATTTGGTTTTTGGATATTGAGTTGTGTATGTTCTGTATATATTTTAGATAGTAACCCTTTATCAGATATGTCATTTGCAGATATCTTCTCTCATTCTCTAAGTTGCCTTTTAGTTTTATTGTTTCCTTTTTGTGCAGAAACTTTTAATATTATTTATTTAATTGTGTTATGTTAGTCACAATAAAATACATTATTAGTTTTCGATGCAGTGAAACTTTTTTTTTAATGTACTTTTTTTTTTTAATTTCTTTTGAGAATAACAGTATTCATTGTTTTTGCACCACACCCAATGCTCCATGCAATATGTGCCTTCCTTAATACCCACCACCTGGCCCCCCAACCTCCCACCCCCCGCCCCTTCAAAACCCTCAGGTTGTTTTTCAGAGTCCATAGTCTCTCATGGTTCACCTCCCCTTCCAATTTACCCCAATGTTTATTGCAGTGAAACTTTTTATTTTGATGTAGTCATGATAGTTTATTTTTGCTTTTATTTTCCTTGCCTCAGGAGACATATCTAGAAAAATGTTGCTATGACCAATGTCAGAGAAGTTAGTGTCTTTGCTCTCTTCAAGGATTTTTATGGTTTTAGGTCTCACATTTAGATCTTTACTCCATTTTGGGGGCGCAAGCAGAAGGAGAGGAAGAGAGAGAATCTTAAGCAGGCTCCTTAGAATGGAGCCTGAAGTGGGCTCAATCTCCCAACCCTGAGATCATGACCTAAGCTGAAATAAAGAGTTGGGTGCTTAACTGACTGAGCCATCCATGTGCCCTATATGTCTTTAATTCATTTTCAGTTTATTTTTGTGTATGCTGACAGAAAGTGGTCCGTTTCATTCCTTTACATATAGCTGTCCAGTTTTCCCAACACCACTTGTTAAAGAGACTGTCTTTTTCCCATTGTATATTCATTCTTCCTTTATTGAAGGTTAATTGCTCATATAGCTGTGAGTTTATTTCTAGGTTTTCTATTCTATTTATCTATGTGTCTATTTTTGTTCCAGTACCATACTGTTTTGATTACTACAGCTTTGTAATTTAACTTGAAGTCTGGAATTGTGATGCTCCCAGCATTGATTTTCTTTTTCAAGGTTGCTTTGGCTATTTGGGGTCTTTTGTGGTTCCACAAATATTAGGATTGTTTGTTCTAGTTCTGTGAAAAATGCTGTTGGCAGTTTTTAAAAATTTTTTAATTTTTAAAAATTTTTTTTCAGTGTTCCAGAATTCATTGTTTATGTACCACACCCAGTGCTCCATGGAGTACATGCCCTCCATAATACCCACTACCAGGCTCACCCAACCCCCTAGCCTCCTCCCCTCCAAAACCCTAAATTTGTTTCCCAGAGTCCACAGTCTCTCATGGTTTGTCTCCCCCTCCAATTTTCCCCCATTTCACTTTTCCTCTCTTCTAATGTCCTCCATGTTATTCCTTATGCTCCACAATTAAGTGAAACCATATGATAATTGACTTTCATTGCTTGAATTTTTTCACTCAGCATAATCTCCTTCAGTCCCATCCATGTTGATGCAAAAACTGGGTATTCATCCTTACTGATGGAGGCATAATATTCCATTGTATATATGGACCATATCTTCTTTATCCATTCATCTGTTGAAGGGCATCTTGGCTCTTTCCACAGTTTGGTGATTGTGGCCATTGATGCTTGGAACATTTGGGTACATATGGCCCTTCTTTTCACTACATCTGTATCTTTGGGGTAAATACCCAGTAGTGCAATTGCAGGGTCATAGGGTAGCTCTATTTTTAATTTCTTAAGGAATCTCCACACTGTTTTCCAAAGTGGCTGCACCAGCTTGCATTCCCACCAACAGTGTAAGAGGGTTCCCCTTTCTCCACATCGTCTCCAGCACATGTTGTTTACTGTCTTGTTCATTTTG